AAAATATGCCCGAGAGGAGACAGAGATGGGAAGCCTCTGATAAGGAGACAATTGAACGGAAGCCTGAGTGAAAGGAGGGAGCAAGCCATTGAGGATATCTGGGAACGCAGCAAGCTCAGGTTGAGAGGACAGCAAATGCAAAGGTCCTTAGGCGGGAACATGTCTGGCATGTTGGCTGGTGGGTGGGGCTGGCGCAGAGTGGGCAAGGATGAGGCAGTGTGGCAATCAAGAGCCAGGCCATGCTGGGCCGATCCAAGAACTGGGATTTTATTCTCAGTGAGACAAGCGCCTTTGAGAGTGGAGTGACACGGTCTCACATTTCGGGCTGCTATATGTATGGACTATGGGTGTCAGACTCAGAAGGTACAAGGGTCTCTGCTGTGTCAGCCACATCAGCCCTTGCTCCTTGCTCAAACACAGCCCTCCAGGGGGTACCAGACTGAGGGAAAATGGGGACCAAAGGACTCCCCTCCTCATTTCATCTGCTCGGTAAAAGCCCCGGAACACACCACACACCTTCCTGTGTGAGCCACACAAGTCAGTCCTGATTATGCTCTGAGTTGCCCCATAATCATTTTATATCTTCACCCGGCAGCCTTTCAGTGGGGACCTGCTTTCTGCCAAGCCTTGTACTGGATATGGGGACACACAGAAGGATCTCAACTTTCAAGGAGCTCATGTTCTCAGCGTGGGGCAAGGTGAGCAGGAAGGTGCAGGCTGGTGCTGGGATGGGCTGACTCCTCCCAACCCCACAGCAGTACCACAGCTGGAGGCACAGACTAATCCATGCCTGAGCTCTCGAGGAAGCCAGCATACACCCCACACCCAGTCCCCATGAATGGTGAGGAAGCCCGGGCTCAGGGAAGTAATGAGAAGGACCCAAGGGCACGTTGGAAGTTAGAGAACTAGATTCTTGCCACTCAGAGCCAGCCCCTGAGATGGAGCAGAGTCTGGCTTGGGAGTAGCATGAGGGCTGGGACCAGGTGTGTCTTACCACCATATCCCAGGCCTCAATAATTCTGTGCTGAGTGAGGGAGGGACCCCAGCTCAGACCACACGCAACGAGAAGGTCCAAAGACCCTTCCTCCTCTGGCCTGACAGCAGCCATAACAGGCAGTCCTGCTGCTTGGAATCATGCTAAAGAAGCCTCTTTTACCAGCAGCTGACATGCCAGGGCCTCACTGATGCAAGACAGACATGGTCCCTTCTGGAAGCCCCAGGCATTAATCCCTGAGAGGGGAACCTCTACCAGAGCCCATGAGGGTACCCCCACACCCAAACAACAGCAATGAGTTCAAGTAGTTGTTATTCATATTTTTCCTTTAATAATCATACAATCTTTGAGCATGAGATTTGCTCTCATTCCAATTACCCCATTTCAGAGAAAAGCAAACAGGATCAGAGAGGCTAACTCAGATCCGAGGTCTCCAGCTTGCAGGTGATGGAGCTAGATTCAAATCTTGTCCAACTCCAGAGTCTACATTCTCAACCCCCCTCAAAAGATCACTTTCCTGGCTGACACGACCCCTCCAGGGGGTATTGCACAGGAGTTGTTCTAAGGACAGTCAGTCCTGGGAGGCAGGCCTACTGCAAAATGTTGGGTTTGGGTTTTTTTATCACTTTTTTTTTCTCTAATAGAAAAAGAAAAAACCTTTTTTCAAATGAAAACAGGAAAGAATATCTAATTGTACCACTTATAAAAGCAGTGTTGCCCCCACACCACGAGTCCCACTGCCGGGGTCCCTACCCACTCCCTGAGCATAGACTCAGTTGGCCCTAGGCCTCAGGCCTCCTCTTCTAAAACTCCAGTTCTGTCACTGGCAGCCCTGCTTCCCGCAGCCAGGAGGACCAAATGCCTCCATACCCCGAGCTCAAGTGCATGGATCCTGGAGGCAGGCAGAGCGGGGCTCTCTCACCCTCTCTTGGCAGAGGAAGAAACTAAGCCGAGAGCCGGACATGCTTGCCCCAAGCTTTGCAGGCTGCTCAGTGGTAGAGCCGCAACAAAAGCCCAGGGGTCCTGCCCCCTGGTGCGCTGCTGTTTCTGCAACATGATGACTGACTGCAAGACAGAGGTGGCAGGGACCTAGTGCAGGAAGGGGAGGGGCTGATGTAACAATCCTAGGGGGGTGCGGTGGCCCTACCCTGGACCATGGGCCCGCCAGCTGCCCCCCCTACCTAAACCTTTAGCTTCCTGGCTAGCACACCTGTGCCTCCAGAGCCTGGCCTGCCCTCAGGCATCTTAGAGTGCTCTGGGAAAGCTTTGGGGAGCCCTGGGGAGGTCTTCTTACAGAACAGCATGGTGTGGGGGCCCCACTCACATCTATGCAGGTTTCAGCAAAGACCACTCACAGATATAAAGCAGGCCAAGAGCTCCTGGGCCGGGTACTAGGACAAAAGTGGGCCTTCTTCATCTTGTGCCTGCCCTGAGTTTCACACCTCAGGATGCCATGGCACCTGAGATTCTGAGTGCCTGTCAGGACTCCAGATCCCAGGTGTTTATGGGGACCCTGTTTATACTCAGCAGTTCCCAGACCACATTATAACTGCATACAAATGCAAGCCTCAGACTGCATCATTCTTTCAGCAGCAGAGTCCTGAGAAGGAGGGACTGTCTTGGGTGGGTGGGGGGGCCTCGCCTGACGGGGGACTACTGGCTGCCCATCCCCCACAGGCAGGGCAGGCCCGACCGCAGCCCCAACCTCCAGGCTGGCTTGGCCACATAAATCACCCTCCCAATAATATTTGTATTGATTATCTAGATTGGAAGCCTCAATTGGCTCCATTGTCTCACTTCCTCTCCCAGGGCTCACAGATGGGGTCCCTTCACCTCATCTGCGTTTCTAATGCGACACTTAAATGAAGCAGTCTCAGCAGCCAGCAAAGCCCCACACTGCCCTGGCTGTGGGGGGGTTGGAGGAGTGGTAAGCATATTCCTTGAAAGTGAATGATTCAATCTGGGGTTTGTGGAGCTGGAGAAGCCAAAATAGGCCAGTTTCTGGATACGCAAAGTGTGGCCCAGCCACACCATCTGAGTGTGTGTTAGAAATGCGGAGCCTGGGACCCACCCCAGACCCACCAAATCAACATCAACATTTAACAAGATCCCTTGGCGATTTCCAGACGTGTGAATGTCTAAGAAGCACTGCTCTAGTCCAGCCCTTGTACTGGATAGACAGGAACCTGAGGCCCAGAGGAGGTGCAGGGCTCGCCTGATGTCACACAGCACGTGAGATCCCCTGAGTCTCTATCTGGCTCAGGAAGAGGAAATGAGAGGCAAGTAACTTCTGGAGTGAGGGGGTGGCCGTTTCTGGGCTCCTCGCCCGCCAGAGCTCCTACCTCCTGTCTCAGGGCATGGACAGATGGTTCAGACCAGAGTCTGACCCCCCTGTACTCTCCCAGCCTGGAGGGGCCAGAGAGAGCTCCAGGGACTCCCTAGGAGGGCACCTCCCTCCCGCCCCGGCCAGCCAGCTGCCCCTTCCCTGGCAGCAACTGGACAGCAGATCCCAGGGAAAAGCACCACCTGGGTCTGCCCTGCCCAGTGGGGGGCATGGAGAAACAGAGGCCCCAGAGAGGCAGCCAGTGGAGGACCTGGGAGAAGTAGGGAGGAGGGACTGAAGGGAGGGAGGCAGGGAGGACAGAGACGGTAGGGAGGGGGAGATGGAGAGATGGACAGAAACAAAGAGGGGAAGGAGTGAGCACCAGGAAGGAGGGGAGAAGGACTCAGACAGCTCGGTGGGATCAAAGCTGCAGCAGCAGCAGCAAGACTGAGAAAGGAAGAAGGGGACAGAGGGAGGGAGGGAGGGGAATGGAGGCAGTAAAGAGTGATGGCACAGGAGAAGGGAAGCAGCTGGCCCAGGAGATGGGGAGCCCAGCCCGGCCCAGCCCTGCCCTGCCCGGCCTGCCCCAGCCCCCAGGAACGGTGCAGCTGCCACACTTGGGCCCTACCGTGAGGTCAGTCCTGCCCTGGGGCGGAGGGAAAATAAATGGTGTCCAAGATAAAAGGTCCAAGAAATTATTTGTCTTGTTGTCATGTCTTGACTGTAATGGGCAGGGGCCGGCGGGCAGGCGGGGCATCATCCCAGAAAAGCCTAGGCTGGCAGGCCCACGGTGTGCATGTGGGACCCTAGCCCCAGCCCCGCGCCTTGGCCCACCCACAGCCCCAACTCCCCTGCCCAAGGCCAGCCTGGGGTGGGGGTGGTGGTGGGGTAGGACAGTGATGGCCTGGGACACCTCCCAGAACCTGGCCGAAGAAGGCAAGAACCAGTGAGGCAGAGTCAGTATTTGCCCAGACTGGTACCAAAAATCCTCTCAAGGCTCTGGGGAAGTGGAGTCCTGTCTGTTTCTCTCACTGCTGAGGGCCTTTGTGAGCTGGGGGCTAAGGGTGGGAGGGGGGAGTCAGGGTGTCTCATTCCTCCCAGCCCCCCTTGCAGAGACAGCATGAGGTGAGTGATGGTTCCCAAACATCCCAGAGGAGGGCTGGACACTTTCAGGGTCAAGGGCAGGTCAAAGGGACAGTAGCCCAAGGTGCTGTGAGCACCATTCCTCCCAGGTGTACAAGCCCAAGCTCACAGAGCACATACCCACACTCACACCCATGTGCACACATGTGCACCCACACTCACACCAGGCTGATTTCCAGCACCACCAGCAGCATCCAAAAAAGCATTCCCTGGAGGCTCCCCCCTGTCTGAGCAACTGAACCTGGGGCTGGTGAAGCAATGCCATGGGGCGCAGCTACCTGCTTTAGGCCATGCCCAGGCAAGCCACTGATACCCACGACAGCCAGCATTTACCAGCAAAAGCAATTTTCATTCCCATCTTCAATCAGTACTCCCACCAAGGCTCTCCGGGATACACTACTGCATCTCCAAGTTTACAGATGAGAAACCTGAGAGCCAGCTATGCCAGGTGCGAGATTGCACAGTCAGCACAGGGCAGAACTGGGATTTGAACCTGAGGTCTCAGAGGTGCGCAGTGAGGAGGAGGGAGTTGGCACCTACCATACTTGTCCCCGTCCTCGCCGCGGGCACTGATCCTGCGGCCCAGGACCTGGATGTGCTTCCCACTGGTCCGGCTGTAGAGCTGGTACAGCCGCAGCTGCTTACGGCTCACATCGTCCCGAGCCCGTGTCTGGTTCTCCACGTGGATGCGGAAGTCCACGTTCTCTTCGGCCGCCAGCACCTGGCCAGGGAGAGGGGCATCAGTGATCTACCTTGGAAGTCCTGGGTGCTCTGCCTGTAGGAGCCACGTTCACACCAAAGGGCCAGGGCCTCCTCCATGCTGTCTCTGGACCAGGCCCCGGTGCAGACTCTCCTCTGAGAGACTCACATCTCCGCTGTTACCATCCCCATTTCACAGATAAGGCAACCGAGGCTCACAGCAGTGAGGCGTGTTGCCCCCAAGGTGGCCCAGCTGGGAAGTGGCAAATCTAAGAATCAGGCCTAGGTCTGCTGGACAATAAAGCTTGCTATCTTTCCACTAAAGCCTCAAGTTAAAGCAAGAAGTATGGAGCAAAGATTTCTCATGTGACCTTAGGCACACAGATTCCTTCTCAATAAAACAGTAGAACAGAGCCCCTACCCTGATGGCTGTGAGGATTAAGTGAGCAAGTGGGGAAGTATCAAAATCTGTAATCTATATGAAGATGGGGGAAGGCGGGACGCCAGGGCGTGATCTTGGAGACGCGGGATTGAGTCCCGCATCGGGCTCCCGGCATGGAGCCTGCTTCTCCCTCTGCCTGTGTCTCTGCCTCTCTCTCTGTGTCTCTCATGAATAAATAAATAAAATCTTTAAAAAAAAAAAAGGGGGGGGGTAGCCCGAGTGGCTCAGCGGTTTAGCGCCGCCTTCGGCCCAGGGCATGATCCTGGGGACCTAGGATTGAGTCCCACGTCAGGCTCCCTGCATGGAGCCTGCTTCTCCCTCTGCCTGTGTCTCTGCCTCTCTCTCTCTCTCTCTTTCTCTCTGTGTCTCTCATAAATAAAATCTTAAAAAAAAAAAGATGGGGGAAGGATGGGAGGCACAGCAGGAAGGGCAGAGGCCTGGTGAGTCCTCCTGGAAAGGAATGGGCCAGAATCCACTGTCACTTGTCCCCCAGGAGTTGATGTCCGGGGCCAACCCTTCCATGTCCAGAGAGTCCTCACGCTCACCACACTCACCCAGCCTTTGCCCACATCCCTGGCCTCTCTTAGAGAACATTTCATTTTGCGTCCCCCACCAAAATTCCCCATATCCCCAGAGGTTCAATTCATATGGTACCACATCCTCCAGGAAGCTGCCTCTGGTTTCCTGTGCCAATGTATATCTCTCTAGTCTCCCTTCCTGAACATGCCACCTCCTCACCAGCCTTCTGTTCCCCCTCCTGCCCTCTGGTTGTCTGTCTTCCACCAGACCCGATCACCTTGTATAATGTTCCCCCCTCCCCACCCTCCAAGGCTTCCCATCACATTTAGACAAAGGTCTCCATCAGGACTTCAAGGTCTTCAGGATGAGCCCCCTTTTCATCTTTTACTACTCCCTCACCCCCAACTATACTGACTGCCGTGTTATGCCACTGAGCATTCCAAACCCAAAACACACACCTGCCTCAGGGCCTTTGCACTTGCTCTTCCCTTGGCTTCAGTGTTCTTTCCCAGATTTCTACACTCTGGCTCCTTTACCTCATTAGGGTCTCTGCTCAATGTCACATCCTGAGACAGGCCTTCTTTGACTGTTTTTCTGAAGCAGCCCCCACCTCTGTAACTTTCCATCTCTCTACTATGCTTTGTTTTTTCTTTCTAACATTGACCAACCTGACATAACACCTATTTATCTGGTTTTTGTCTGTCTCCCCTCAACATTACATTGGCAGCACCATGAAAGCTGGGGCTGTCTCCTTCTTGGTTTGCTGCTATATCCCCAGCATGTAGCACAGGAGAAACTCAAAAATTTGTTGAATGCATGAATGAATGAACAAATGAACATTGAAAAGATGTGGAGTCCTGTCATTTCATTTACTATTAAATTAGGTTTTATATGCCCTGCTAAATGTCTGCCTGTCCCTTCCCATCTTAACCATAAAGCTGAACAATTCTCAAAGCCCAGACAGCATTCTTGGTTTGTTCTGTGTGCCCATGAGGTCTGACATGATGCTGGGCACACAAGACCTCACTCCCATGAGAGCATGGCCTACTCAGCCCATCACAGAGCTCTTGGATCCAGGGCTGCCCAAGCATCTGAATCACCTCTCAATCGTGAGCTCCCAAGGGCAGGGACCGTGTTCTCCTCATTGCTACATCCCATGCCCACCCCAGGGTCTCTGTCCTCAAGCTGACCTACACATGTCCCCTGATGCTAGCCTGGGCCTGGCAGGCATTCCAGCTGGATCATATTATTTATCCTTCACTATCATTGTCAGGGCAGAAGTATTATCCCACATCACAGATGAGAAAACTGAGGCCTCGAAGCTGAACTGACAAGGTCCCAGAACAAGCAATGGCAGAGTCAGCCCCAGTTAAAGCCTGTCTTCCAGCCCCACATTGCAGGGTCCCACTTGCCCCACCAGCGCAGTCAGGAGGAGGTCCCGGGGCCAGAACCCAGGGTGTGCCCCTCCCTCACTCAGGGACCTTACCAACCCTTCTGTTCTTCAGCTTCCTCACCTAAAAAAATGAGAGAGGTGACAACAGCCCCCACCTCATGGGCTGTTATGCAGATAAAATGGATAAAGTCTTAGAACAGTGCCCAGCACAGAGCCAGTACTCAGGAGCCTTAACTAAGAGAACACACGGGTGCCCTTTCAGAGGCTCACAAGGAAAGTCCTGCAGACAGAAGCCTTTCTGGAAATACAAGTAGCCCGCACTCCCAACCCTGCAGAGAGGGCACCTCTGCACACAATCGCAGTCTAGGAAGACGCTATTGCCTCTGAGTCTCCAGACAACCCAGCAACAGGGAAATGCTTGTCACCTCCACTTAACAGATGTATAAACGAGGCTCAGAGAAGTTAACTCAGTGGCTTGGAGCCACAGAGCCAGGGGCATGGGGCCTGGCTGCCGGCCAGCCAAGGAGGCATACCCTTCACTCCCATTCTTCTTGATGGCCAGCCCCTGTCACCAATTCACAGCCAGAGTCTGACACCTGGGGCCCACCTCCTCTCATATCTTGATGCTCAGGGAGGGAAGAGCTCCAGCACTCCATGAGGTTTGCACCTGGTGGGCATGTGTCCTGAAAATCACCCCCCACCCCACCCCACCCCCCACCCCCGACTCGTGGCCCTCAACCTCCCCTCAACCTCCCTGGAATGAGCTCCCAAGGTAGGCTGGGCCCATCCCCTCCCCCAAGGGCCATCCTCCAGCCTCCTTTCCTGCCCTCCAACTCTCCTCCTGCTCACAAGAGACCTTATCGACCAGAGGTCAAACCAATCTCCTTACCCTGGGTCCCCAAGGGGAGCTGTCCTGCCCCAGAAGCCAGCCTCCCATTAACGATTTTCTCCCTGGCCCACTGGACAGAGGCAGTGCTGGTGACCCAGGGTCAGCAGGGGCTATCCGGTGGCCCTTCCCCAGGATGTGGGGGGAACAATTCATCTTGCCCAGCTTCCACCATTTAAGCCACATTCTGTGGTCACATCCTTCCCAAGGGAGGCAGCAGGGGTGGCTTCTGACACATAAACAGAATCCATCCTTCTGATAATGCAGAGAGACCCCTGGGTTTCCTGGGCAAGACCCTTGGGGAGCCCCAGGCATCTGCGTAGGTCAGGTCTTCTGCCCAGGGCACCCTGCTCCCTCTGCCCAACTGACACCTTCCCTCAGGTGCCTCCTCTGGAAGCCTTTCCTGGTCCCCACCCCCGCAACCATCCCACACACAACTGGGTTAGGGCCTCTGGGCACTATTGTAATGGCTTATCATCCCCACAGTGCAGCTCACCCTGGGGTCTCCAGCTCTGGCAAATGTTTGCTAAATGACTGTGGCTAGGATTAAGGAAACCTGAAGGCCAAAATCAGTTCCACCACTCACCACCCAGACAAGCAGAGTGCTCCACAGAGGGGTGGCAAGGGGCATTCTTAAAGCTATCAATTGCCAAGCTTTCCTCTGTTCCAGACACTCTGCCGGAACCTTTATATGTGGTACCTCCTCAGCCACTCTTGGAGGTGGGCACCAGTTAGAGCTCACTTCATAGACTGGACCTTTGAGGCACTTCTCCAGGGCCACGGGAGCTGGAATGTGGGCAAGCGGAGCACTAGCATCTGCCTCAGGAACATCCTCTTCCTCCTGTTTTCCTGCTCAGAGTGGCAGGTGACCTGGCCTGAGAGGGGTCCTGTCTTCCAGGCTTTCCTGGAACAGTCAAAGCTGCTCTCCACTGGCTAACACCCCTCCAGGTGCACAGTCATCTGGGGTGTTGAGAAGCTGCAGCGTGAAAAAACGAGACTACTGCAGCACTCACAAGGGAAGCAGGGTTGGCACGTTCAGGACGTGTCCTTGGGTGGAGGAAGGCACCTTTGTTACTCTGCCTTCCCCCACCCCAGCTTCTCTTTTGGGTCTAAGTAGCTTTTCCCACATCAGGATGGCCTATAGTGGGGTCCCCCTGCAGCCTAAGGTCCCCCCAGTGCCCCCCAGCCAGCCCCTTCCCTGCCCTGAGAGCTTGGGCTCTGGTGGAAACATTCACTTCCCAATCCAGGAATTGCACAGGGGTGACAATGGCCTGACAGGTTCAAATCTCCCCCAAGGTGTGCTGAGATCGCAGGCTCTGGCACAGACAAGGTGCCCAGTGGGACACAGCGCCCTGCCTAGGGCCCGGCCTACACTCTCATCCTTGTGGGGCACAGCTCTCTAACACACACGGTGGGGCCGGTTCCAACATCACAGTCTGCCTGGCTCCCCACTGCCCACAGCACAGTGTCCATTTGGGGGCCTTCAGTGTCCATTCGGGGTCCTTCCTGGTCCATTCGGCCAGCCTCTCCTACATTCTGCACCTCCTCCCTTCACCCTAGGGGTGAACCATCCATGGGATGAAAAGAGGCTGGGGTGTTCTCAATGCCAGCTCCCAGACATCAACCCAGGCCCCCTCTTACCAGGGCATCCATCAGCCACCCCTGCTCCCTCTGGTTGAAGATTCTGGCTTCACTGACCCACTCATGCTCTGAAGACATGTCTGGGGGTTTCCTATTTCTTCCCGGGCCACACCCCCATATTCCACAGATGTCCGCCTCACC